AAAAAAAAAAAAAAATGGAAAAAAAATAAAAGAAATGTACACGAAGGTGACGATGACGTCAACATGAAAAACAGAAGCGTTTTTACTTCGCTGTAACATGCGTCCGAATGTTCTGCATGATTTGCTCGATTAATTGTTAATATTTTTATTGAACTATCATATCTCTCGTATCAATGTTCGACGTGTACTTTAAAAGAAAAATATATACATATACACGTATATGTATATAATACATGGAGTAGCATATTTCTCAATGCATGATTTCGTCATGCGACATCTATTCGCATCCCACGTATTTTGAACTAAAAGGTAAATGCAAAGTCATCCTATTCTCAAAATCCTTGAAGTCGATGCGAATAATTATCGTGATTACGCTTTAACAGGTCGGTAAAAACGATTCTGGATATCGAATCTGTAATTCAAATGATAATGGCGAAAATTACAAAAATGAACGATGATGATAAAAAATAAATGATGATTTTCTAGTAAATTTGCTCATTTTTGTAATTTTTGTAATTTTCAACCTCGCACTTAAATTACATAATTGATATACCCTCTGTTCTTCTTGTAATTTTATTAATCGAGCTATGATATATTTCTCTGTATGAAATAATTTGATGTTACCATGTATAATTATTATAGTTTTTAAGGCAAAAGCCAATATTGCTTAGTACAATATTTAATGGCACGAATGATGCGACGAAGAATCTTTTAAGATATATATATGTACATTAATTCATAGAGTCGTTTTTAACTTTGATCGATACATCGAAGAATTTCCGATGAATGGTACAATTTTCTTCATATGATAAGATTAAGGTGATGCCGAACCGTCCTGTTTTACCGGCCATAATAATTTACTTTGCAGACCGAAATTTTTTTATTGGTTACATGAAATAAGAAATCCTTTTCCACGATTAAAGTATATACATCAACAAAGTGGGAACCTTGCGCTTTTACGTTAAAAACGAAGAAAATCTAAAAAATTACAGTTTTTTTACCGGCTTCTTGCGTCAGGTCGTAACAATATTTGCTTAATATAAAAGTTTTGGCAGTTTGTATGTACAAAATAAGATAGGTTTCCACTCGGAAATGCATGAAAGAATATAAGTGAACGTTTGAAAATGTATTTAGAAGCCTAGTAAAAAACATTTCGGTGTGCAAAATTTTTGAACACCGAAATGTTTTTTACTAGGCTTCTAAATACATTTTCAAACGTTCACTTATATTCTTTCATGCATTTCCGAGTGGGAACCTATCTTATTTTGTACATACAAACTGCAAAACTTTTATATTAAGCAAATATTGTTACGACCTGACGCAAGAAGCCGGTAAAAAAACTGTAATTTTTTAGATTTTCTTCGTTTTTCACGTAAAAGCGCAAGGTTCCCACTTTTTCGATGTATATACTTTAATCGTGGAAAAGGATTTCTTATTTCATGTAACCAATAAAAAAATTTCGGTCTGCAAAGTGTAATTATTATGGCCGGTAAAACAGGACTCCGGCATCACCTTAAGAAGACCAATAAATTGTTTAGTTGAAACAGCAATGAAAATAGTATAAACCATTGTGTGTTTACACAATTATATTCGAATACAAAAGATGTTAGAGTCAATGAATATGTCACTGAAAACATGATTGATC